CCGCCGCATCGCCGCCGCCGCAGCCTGCAGCTCCCCCGCGCTCTCCATCGTCGCGCGCCCACCGCCGCCGCCGCCGCAGCTCCCAGGCGCCGCGTCCTCCTCTGACACTCCTCCCGACAACTGCACAGCGAGGCTGCTGCTGCCGCTGGTGCGAGCCGCGCCCTCCTGCCACCCGCCGTCCCGCCCGCCCTCGCACGCCCTTCCCCTTTCTATCCCCGCGCTGCTGGCACTGCCCGCCGCGCCGCCCTCGCCCTGATCAGCGCGACCATTTTCCGCCTGCCCGTCGTCCCAGGCTCTGCCCCGCTTGGTGAACCCGAGGGTGACAAGGTCGAGGGCCCAGTCGGGGGCCGAGCCGTGCAGCCGCGCGTCAAAGGCGTAGCCGAGGCCCTGGAACCAGGGCACCATGTCGCGGGCGGCGCCATGGAACATCAGCCGCCCCTGGCTCAGCAGTGTGACCTGTGCGCGTTGTGCGTAGGGCACCGCGTCGTGCAATGTGGTTGCATGCAGTGCGACGGGCTGTGGGGCACAAGATGCGTGATAGACATTCGCACGCGTGGCCAGCCGGCGGCGGTGCGCATCTGTGCGCCGTGTTGTGGGGCCGCCCCACTGGATAGAGTTCAGGTCGCAATTATGTCAGCCTTCGCAATCCTGCGCCGCACGCAGTGCCCTTGCAATGCCTCGCGCACGTTCACCCTTTGGTGCAAGTCAAGCCGCTTTACGCAATAACGCAGCCGCCGACGCAGCCACCCATGCACCTTGTCGAAGAGCGACCAGATGGCGGCGCGCGGCTGGTGCAGCGAGGCCAGCAGGGTGTGGCCGCCGTCAGCAGTGCGCCGCATGAAGCGCGACACACTGAGCGCCGCGAAGGAATCCTGCACGCAACGAGCCGGCGAGCAAGGGTGTCGGTGAATTGCAGGAATCAGCCCGCGCGCGGGGGGCGTGCAGGCTGGCGCCTCGCGTGACAAACATGCATCTATCCAGCCAACCACCAGCAGCAGCGCGGGCTGCGTTCCTTGGGCTGGCCCATCGGTGCAGGGTTTTGAGCTTCCGGTCTCAGCAGTGCACCGACGGCGGCGCCACTGGGCCAATTGTTGTGTAGCGACAAACCCACCAGGCCGGTCGTGGGTTCGTCCAGGAAGACAAGGCTGGGCCCCGCCACCACGCCCGCCGCGATGGCCAGCCGCCGCCGCTCGCCGCCGCTGAGGCCGCGGAGTGCGATGCCCCCAGGCAGCCTGCCCCCGACCTGGCGCGTGAGCGCAGAGCATGGCAAGCGGGAGGGCGGCGCGGTCAGCATCAGCTGTCTGGCGGATGAGTGCTTGGTGATGGTGCTGCAAATCGGATCCTGCCCAAACCTGCAAGAATCCCAACCGCCCCGGCGGGGGAGGTGCCCTGGCGGCTGGCCTTAGTGAGTCTGCCGCCGCAACAGCCCGGCGCCATGAAGCTGCCACGGCCGCAGCCGCGGGTCTGCCCGCACTTAGGGTTTAGTGGTAGTGGTAGACCCTAAACCCTGAACCCTGGGTGGAGGGCCCCCCACCCACCAGCGTGTGGCGCTGCGCGGTGAGGCCCATCAGCCGCAGCACGCCCTGGCAGCGGTCGGCACGATCTTGCGCTGACGTGGACGGGGGCAGGATCACGGCAGCGTAGAACCCCACTGTCTCGTCGGCCGTCATAGTCGGGACAAAGTTGTCGTGCTGGGGTTGGTTTGAGGGATGGGTCAACACGCAGTTCAATGTTATCGGGTTTGCTAAACGGTTGTATGTTGAAAGCGGTGCAATATTTGAGCGCACCGCCTGGGAAAAGCTGGGATGGACACCGCCCCAAAACACAGGTCTGACGTTTGGTCGACTTCCGACCCTGACTGGGCCCGCCAGCAGCCTGCTGAGCTGTCTGCACAGCCAGGCGTACCTGAGGCACGTACGCGCTGATCTTGGAGAATTGCTGCTCTCGCCGCGGCCGGCCGTTGACCAACACAGCGCCCTCGACGGCCAGGGTGCGGCTGCTGCGCACGCGCATTGCCAGAACATCCAGCAGCCTGTGTGCAAGGCAGGGGCAGGGTTGGGGCAGCTGGAGCCCGCAACCGCGGATGGGCTAGCACACAGGTATGACACCAGCCTGCAGTTTTTGGAGTGCACGCATGCGTGCATCCTGTCGCTGTGCCTGGGTATCCCCATGGGGCTGATGCAGCCCTGCATGTGAACGTAAGCGGGCAGGCGACGTCGGATGCACCACCACTCACGTCGACTTGCCGGCGCCTGAGGGGCCCATCAGTGCCTGGAGCTCCCCTGGCGCGGCGGCGCCGTATATCTCCTGCAGTTCAGGATTGTGCAGCAGCAGGGGCAGGCTGAGGCTCGGGGCGCTGCGCGGCTGCCCGCCGAGACTGGTGGCTGCATGTTGTGTGTGATGAGTGGAAGCGGGCTTGCAAAAGTGTTGCGCCGTTCGGCAAGGTAAGGATCCGGCCTGGCCGCCGCGTTGGAGCACCATCTGCGCCTTGCTCAGTGCCTTGTCAAACAACCCGCGAGTGCGTGCAGCGCACCCGTAGGATCTGCCGCCGGCCCCCGCCCCCCGCAACGCTCAGCGACAGCGAGCGCCACTCGAGGTCCACGGCCTGCGCGTGCAGCGGCGCCGCCGCTGCTGCGGCCTCGGCGGAACACTCGTCCGCCGCGCTGGCGTCTCCGTCGTCCACGGCGTGCTCAGGCGCGCCCTGCCGCAGCTTGCGCGGGCTGCCGCCGCTTGAAGCCGGCGTGCCGTCCTCCAACCCATCCACCGATGCATCTGCCGCGCCGCCGCGTCGCTCGGGTGCGCGCCCTTCGCCAGGCCGTCCGGCGCTGCCGTGACGCCGCATGCGCAGCTGCAGCTGCCTCATCGCATGGATCGCTTCCGGGTGGGCGTTGAAGTAGGCTATTGCCAGGAACACGGCTATGTAGAGGACCGACAGCGCTAGCACCGTCACCCACAGCGCCGTCAGCGGGCCCGACGCCTCCACCGCCATGCTCGTGCTCTGAGAAATGCGGTCGTAATTTGAAGCCAATGTCATGCAATCAGGGTTTCAGCCTCCCGCGACCACCATGGGCCGATGTAACACGGACCTGACGGAAGGCACGCTCGATATTGCGCGATTGCCTCAAGATTGAATTTCAAACGTCTAAGGAACCTACAACATTTTCACTCCAGACTGACAGGACACCTGTGTGCTGTCTGCGGGCAATACTTGCCGCGCCAACTTCCAAGGTTGCGTGATGTCCAAGGAGTGAGACTGAGGGTCAGGCGGTCTATGTTTCTAAGCTCAATGTTGAGGTACATTGAAGAGTCGAGGCATTGTCGGGGCTGCGTCCGCTTGCGCAGAATTGCATCGACCGGATTGCACAGAAATGGCTCATCAACTGCCTGCCTGCCTCGGGGGTTGAGACCCTTGCGCATGCCGCTTACGTTTGCCCCAACTCCAGACGAACGGCTTGCGCACAGCCCCCCCCCCCCACACACACCTCTCCCTGCCATCCGGCCTGCCCTCCCACATCAGGTGGGCTGCCAGCCCGACCTGGAGCCCCTGACGCCCTCTGACACCGAGGCGCGCCACACTCGGGTGAGACTCAGTGTGCTGGCTGGGCGGTGAGGCGGGGTGCCGTCGACGAACCACAGCTTGTGCACTGCTAAATCGCCGAGAAACCCTTGCAATGAGACACCCGTGGCTGAATTGCTGTGCCAATTCGATGCACGTGGGATGCTCTTGTGCGGCGCGCTAACTCAGCATTGTGTCCCGACGCGCCCGCCCGATAGAGCGCCGGCGGGGCCGCTAGCTTTGCTGGGCAGCCGTCGCGCGTCGCTGTCCGCGTCAAGCAGACCGCCTCCGGGGCTGTGGCTGTCGCCAAGAAGGGCACCAACATGAACAACAAGAACAACATGACCAAGGGCGCCGCCCCTGCGGCTGTCAACAGTGCCTCCAAGGCCCTCCCTGCCCCTGTTCCGCTCAACAAGGCTGTATGCGGCGCGCGGCTGAGCTGGCGGCTCCCGAGGCCGCCGGCGCCGGCGCCGGCCGAGGGCCGAGGGCGGCGGCGGCAGGGCGGCGCGCGGCGCGTCTACAGCTCAGCGCGCCGCCGGCACCCGTCCACAAGAGGAAGGCCTGCGCGTGGTGAGGGCAGGATTGCGGGAGTTAACTTGTGGGCATTGGCCAGACAGCTCGGGGGTTTGTCCCCTGGCCTTGTGTGGCCACAGTCCTCAATCCATCCCAAGACGAGTCATCTCAATCATCCACCATCTCCCTGTCGGTGCCGCATCATGAATCCCCCGGCCTCGGCGTAGGTCAGCGCACGCATGACATGAGCCGAGCCAAAACGATATCAAGGAGACAACTCAAGACAATCAGGGACTTTGCCGTCCAAAGAACAAGAGTCAAGATCAGCGACGCATCAGCAGCAGCCGCCACAGATATGATGTGGCGTCTGACACACTGCTGCGTGCGCGTCCCCCTCTGCGACATACACAAACCTCTTTGGCAGCTGCCACGCTCGGGTGGCCGGCTGGTGCGAGCGCCATCTGCCTTGACGTGGCCGCCACTGAGCACAAACCCCAGAGCAAAAATATCTCGATCGCCCGAACACGATGCACCAAAAGCCTGCCACGCGGCCCCACGCAACTGCTTGGCCTACCGCAACCAATGACGCGGCCAACTGCCCACGACTCAACGCACGCGGCCACCCACCGCCATCGACCCTGGCACCACAGACAGCTGGGCCTTTGACCCGCCCCAGGACCCACGCACGTGACCCTCGCGCGCTGCAACCCGATCGCCCCCTGGACCCCAACTTGCCTTTTTATGGCAACTCTGCCGCCGCACTTGTCTTGCAACCGCATGCAAGGTCATCCTCGTGGCCTGTCAACTCCGTCGGGATCTATCACTGGTCCTTTCAACACCTCCGACCTGTCCTTGTTCCCTATCTGAACCGCCTTGCGCCAACAGCCCTTTCTCGCACCATCTGCCCTGAGAAGACAAAGCGCCACTGCCGCGCGGCTTGCATTGCCGGTGTTGGGGCCAAGCCCGCTGGCGCGGTGTCGCGGCCACCAACAGTTGCGTGCTGTCTTGAGGCCCAACCGACTGGAAGCAAGGTGCTCCCAGGACCCCGTGTTGGGTTTTAGACAGGCGTATCGCGGCACACGCGTACCCGGCCTTTGACGACCAAAGCCACCGGCACCCCTCGGCGCGGGGCTCACTGCGCGCCCCTGCCGCGGGCGCACTTTGCTGACACTGCACGCCTTGCATCCAACCATCCTGGGCTTTGCCCCCCTTTTAACAGCGCCAGCAACCCATCTGTGTGTGTTATCGGAAATGACTCCCTCCTGTCCGGAATAACCACGCCTGGGCGCTTCGCCCAGAGGACGTGGGCGCTTCCTACCCGGATCACAGAAATTGAGCGCTGTTTGGCGCCATGCACAGCGCATGTCCTTGCTGAACCTCACATGCGTCGTCATTCTGAAATAAAGCTGCTGGCTGCGGCACGCGACCTCTTGCGTTTCTCTAGTCGAGCCGTTTCTCGGCCGCACAGGACAGGCATGGCATCCCTCATCACACCCAGGGCAGCTCCTCCCAATGAAATCAACTGTCTTTGAGCCCAACACATCGCCCTGCGAGCTTTTCTTTGGCCCACATCAAATGCGCAGGCGCCTCCCATGGTGCGCGCATATCGCATCCATTGTGGCTGGTGACAGCGAGCACATCACTGCGCTTTGGCAACTGCACCAGCGCTAGGTCGCTCGAGTGCCGTCACGCAGCTATGTGTGTTAGCCCACACCAGGCCCTGGCCACTTTGACGGGCCCCCAAGACAGGTTGCAGTCAAACGACCGCAAGCAGCACACAGTCCTGATCTGAGATCTGTTGGGTAGGTTGACATGTTGAGTTTCCAGGCAGATATTCTTGCAACACCAAGGTTGGCTCCCATGACTCAGGGTTTTTTTCTCTGGCAACGCACACATTGCTCTGTAAAAGGCAAATTTGTAAGCTACTCAAATGGGTGGTCAGATCTGACACAACACTTGCGCATGTGGTGCCGGCGCGCATCAGTGTCCGTACGTACAGCCGTTGGTGCCACTACTGCTGCTTCGCGTGCCGCACCGACTTCTTCTGCTGCAGTGTCCTGCATTCTTCGCGATGACCCGCCTTCCAGTGGGTGCGCTGGCTACGATTGAGAACAATGCGGCGCGTCGAGGGCAGAATTGAGTGAAGATCACATGATTGAGGGGGGGGGATGAGCAGCAGCGCACACAACCTTACCGCTCCGCTTTTTGCCCCGATTTCAACCCACCCAGCTGATGCGCACCATGCTTGGCTGCAGTAGCGCAGCCCCGGCTTGCGGCAGCCGCTGCACATGTGGGGCCTCTGGCCGTCCGGCTCCTGGACCTTGCCGCACACGCTGCACGTCAGGGGCTGCTGCTGGGCCGAAGGGCCGCCGGCGCCAACAGCGGCGCCCGAGCCGCCGGCCACCGGCGCTGGCCCACTGACGTCCGCGCCCGGCGCTGCTTTGATGCAGTCTGCAGCTGCGTCTCCGACGTCGGCGCCGCGCCCCTCCGCCTCTGCCGCCTCTGGCGCGAGGCGCCTAATCACCTCCTCCGCCATCCAGCGATTTGTTTCATGCTCTTTGCAGGCTACGCCGGGCGCCGTGCCCTCCGGGCTGTCGGCCGCCTCGCCGGCGGATCTTGCGGCCTCCTCCAGCCAGTGCAGCACGCCCGGCATGGCGCGCAGGACGGTGCTGCGCCACTCGGACTCGACGCAAGCGGTCGAGGTCGCTTGCAGGATGCACACGGCGTTGAAGGTCATGGCAGGTTTCAGACCGCTGCGCGCGCGCAGCTCTGCCTCTTTGCACAGCACCTCGAATATGTCCAGAGCCATCACACGGCGCAAAAACGGGGCATCGCAGGCCACAGCGGCTGCTTCGCACATATTGGCGACGATGCACAGCTGCGTCGACAGCAGCACCGCGCAGCCAACCTCGCCCTCCAAGGGGCACACGTCATGGATGGGACACGGGTCAAACAGCCACTGCACAGCGTCAAAGAGGTTCGACCGTGCGGCGGGGTCCGCGTACATCTCGGCCGCCTCGTTGGGCCTGGCCATGCCCAGAACGCAGAAAAGCAAGGCCATTGCCTGTCGCCCTCGCCGGCACAGCGCGTTCGATGTGCATATGCACAGGGCAGTGGCGACGGCCGGCATAGCCATGCGAGGCCGCTGATCGCAAATTGCCGCCCATTGCTCAAAAAGGACAGCGCCGTGGGGGTCGCTGGTGCCCCGCAGCCTGAGGAGCGCGTTCGTGACGTCACCCAGGCACATGACTGCCAGGTGCGTGAGGTCGCAGCAGCCATCGGTGATGCAAGCCGCAATCGCAAAGACCAAGCCAGGCGATGCAGCCGCTTGTTCGGCCGCAGCCGGGCTTTGGGTAGCAAGGAATGCGAGCGCGTTGTAGGCGGCCGCGACCACCCGCAAACTCTCGAAATCTGCAGCTTGGGGGTCGCCGCAGGCCGCCTCCGTGTGTTTCACAATAATGCTTGCCAGAAGGTCAGGCAGGCGGGGATGCAGGGCGAGGAGGGACGCCGCAAACTCTTTTGCCGCCGCGCTGCAGTCATAAACCACTCCAGGGGCGCTGCAGGCCACGAGTTCGAGGGTACTGGAGAGCACCATCAGTGGCAAAGAAAGGCCTGCCAAGTCACTGCACCGTGCCGTGCCGCCGCCATGCGGCTGGCTGCCGCCGCATGGGCCACGCGCGGCAGCTGCAGCTTTTGTGATGCGAGTCAGCAGCGCCGCAAAAAAGTCGCGGCGCTTGGCGAGGCCGCTGGCGGCCCCAGGATCAAGGAGTAGCACGCGTTGGAGGATGAGCAGGACATGTGATGTCGTCTTGCGGCAAAGAAAGGCACGGTCTGGGTCGAGCGCTCCGGCCGCGGCCACGGGCGTCCGCAGGGCTGGCGAGGTGAAGGCATCCGCTGCCATCTGGAGGAGGGCTGCAGCGCCGCACACCCGCACAACGGCGGTGATGCCGTCCTTGTGCGCAACCAGGAGCTCCGCCACCCCCCACGCCGTCCACACGTCCTCCGGGACCCGTCCGCGGCTCGGCAGCAGCGTCATGAGCGCCCTGCACGGGCGGGGGTGCGGCGTGTGGGATCACACGCGTGCAGTCGGATGATTCGCCCCGCGAGTCGGCAACAATACTCAGAGTCACTCTGCACGGGTCAAGGCAGCCTGCAAAACAAAGCCGCGCTGTTTGTGGGGCCCGCACAGCACTCATGCGCCAGCTCCATGCACCTGAGCGTCGCCTCGTGCGCCCGCGCCTGCTGGCGCGCACGCTCGCCCTGCAGCACAGCTCCCAGCACGAGGCAGCACAGCTTCGTGACCTGGCTGCCTCCTCCATGCATTGTGATCAAGCCAGCGAGGCTGTCCAGCGTGCTTGGCGGGAAGAGTAGCTGCTCGTGCGGCGTTGCGGCAGCGGCGCAGATGAGGCGATCGGCCGCGCTGTATGTGCTTTCCATGCTCTCGATGGCGTTGGGTTTGTACGTGGCCAGGCATTTGATGAGCTCCGCGAGCTCTTTCTCCAGAGTGCCGCTTCCCATGGCTAGTTAGTCTGTACACCCCTAGCTACCGTACGTCGGTGTCGGTCAAACGATCTAGCGTGGAGCGACCATCTCAGAGACGTATGATGCATCAGCGTGAGGTGGCATGCTACTTATCCTGCTATGATAAACGGCCGTGCGGAGAGCGATTGCGGCTGCCTGCTAAGCGGGCGCCAGTGTCGTCGGCACCGTTCCCGAGCCCTGGCTTGCGCAGGCGTGCTTAGGGACACCGCTTGCATTGCACAGAGCTTAACGTGCGTGGCAGCATGCCCACTCCCTCTGTCCAGCAGCACCCACAGGGTCCTGAGCTTGTGTGAGCCGGGCGTGGCCTATGCTTCCCGTCACACCCGGCCAACGCCCCCGGTGACCTCAGAGCAAATGGGCAGCGGCGGCGAGGGCAAGGGGAACAGTGGCTCCTCAGTGCGATGAACCTGCCGACATGATGATGCCCCCCCTGCTTCGTCACACAATACGCTCTCGCTGGCAGTCCAGGGGGTGTGCGTCGCATGCCGCTGTCACCACAGGCTGCAGCTTTCTGCTCTTTGAGCTGTGTCATGTTATGAGGCCCCACAACCTGAAAGGGTGACTGCAGACTGTCATAATAGTTGTGTCTTTCAAAAGGTCATTATCAGCCAATGTCAAATCGCAATGGCTGACGCGTGCCTGTGGGTTGCCTTGTTCGGATCAGGTACCTCTTTAAGTGCGCGCAGGCGGCTGCGACAATTGTTTGGACATGGAAACCTTTTCACGTTACATGCTCTACTTCTTGACAAAGAAAGAAAGGGCCCCCCGCGCGAAGCGCATGCAAGGCCTGGACACCCACCCATGGGCGCTGATCATAGGGCAGGCGGCACACGGCCGCGCACTGCCCCCTAAACTGCTGGATCCCTGCGTGGCCGACCACAAGGCCAGCCGCCCTACAACTCGTCGTGGTCCTCGGGCTCGCCGCCAGGGCCGCCGCCGGGGGCGCCCTTGCCGTCGTAGAGCTGCGGGGAGAGGAGACGGCACGGTCAAGTCAGGTCAGCGCCGCACAAACCAAGCAAGCTCCTGCCCCAAACAACCCGCCGTGCCTGCGCCCCCACCCTCCAGTGCACCCTGGTGCGCCCAGCGCCTGGAGAGCTACATCAAGCACGATTGAGAATCACAGGCTGGGCGGGCTGTGATTCTTCTCCAATTGACAACAATCCCCACACCTTGGCGAAGATGGGCGACACAACGTCCTCCAGGTCCTTGAGGCGGTCCTTGTACTCGTCGGCCTCCGCGTCGCTGTTCTCCTCCACCCACTCCTGGGCCTCCTTGACGGCGTCAAGCACCTTCTTCTTG